GATATATTGTCGACGATTGATTTGATCCTGTTCAAATATTGTTGAAGGGATTGGTCTTTCATAGTGATGCGGTAAAGTTCGTTCTTGAGTTGCATGACTCTAGAACGACTGGTCGGTTGAAGACGACGTTCAAGAACGGTCCAGGCGTCGTGGGTTGTGGCTGAAGTGATGATGTAGGGAAGTATGGATTGTGAAATAGTTGAGAATAAGGCTGATAAGAGGTTGCTGTCTACGATTTTCCAGCGGATGTAAGCATCTGACGTGATTTCCTCCGGAGCGGGAATTGTTCCGGTGAGATGACCGGAGTAGCCGTTGGCGGCAAATTGTTGGAAGATTTGCATGCGCCAAATTGGATAGTTGTCCGCCGTGAGATGGTGGGGGGCTAAGTTCTTGATGTTGGAGACAAGAAATTTTAGCGGTTGAGGAATGGTGATGGATTCGGCTGAAATTTCCGGTTGAGTATTGGTGTAGGAGGAGGTTGGAGGAACGGAGTTGGTGGAGATTTGATCTCCCATCCCGGTGTCTGATACCATGAGAGACAAGAACAAGAAGAAGGAGAACGTGCAGAGGAAGAAGACAGAGAGGAAATAGAATTGTATATCTTAATATACTCTACAGTAATTACAAGTATTTATATAGATGTCATCTGGCAAAGAGGTAAATAGATACATATTTGTGTTTAAGCGTGAGTTGGGATCAGCTTGACTAATATTAACATCATTCATTGACACCTGCCATTGTTCATTGACTGTAATCTCCTACAACTAGCATTTATTTTTTTAGCCTGCAAAATGCAAAAGATAACACACTAATAATAGTCAAATTAAATAACTAATAATTTCAAATATGACTTAATGGTTAAGTTATTCTAAAAATAGTCAAATTTATTCTCCACATATAACCCTTTTGTTTCTAAAATTTCAAAGGGACCAAAATCATTAATTTTTATCTTACATAGGAATTTCATCATTGGAGAGTTTCATAATGAATTTGCTTTCAAATTAGTATTACATGAACTCCATATGCAACAATATTTTTCAATTTCACCCTTAACAATTTTTTGAATTAGGAGATTTAAACACAATTGTTTTCCTGAAATTTGCATTTTATATATGTTACAATAATTGTTTAAGCTTATGCAATTATTACGAAAATAATGGCATTTTGTACTCACATTTAAAAGTGCAATAGAAATATTAAATTCAAGTTTTTTATTTTATTTTATTTGTAAAGTTTCAATTTGACAATAATTTATAATAATGAAAAATATCACCAAATTATTTAACATAACATTGCAAGAATGATGATAAAATAGAAATGATTTTTGCAATAACCGTAAAACAAATTAAAATTCATTAGTGCAATATTTAACTTTCATTAAATTAAAAAAATTAATTTTAGGAGGTGAGCTTAGGTGGAATCTAAATATTAATAAAATTTATTTTTTCAAAAAAAGAAAATAAGATGAAGCTTTGCTTTGTTTGGATTGAAAAAATATGAAATGACACTACTAATAAATCAGTCATTTGCTGAACTTTTTAAGGCCTACTGCAGCGAGTTAAATACATACTAATTTATTTGCTGCTATTTAGGAACCATAAACCACTGCAAATATGTCGTAATTGCGTTCTCTTGATAGGCTTCAGTAGCGATTTTATGAGTGCTGATGTTGGAATACTTTAGCAGCGCTTTTAACAGGTGTTAAAACTGCTGCTAAAGATTAGAATTTATTAAAAATATGTATATAATGCCAAAATTAGGTTTTTTGGCAATTAGTATAGCAGCCGCATCATCTACTTCATTCAGTGAGCTTTACACACAAAAGCTGGCTGTAACTTTTTACTGGTAATATAAATATAAAATCTAAGGGTATGTGCAAAGTTTCATTAATCCAAACCTTGCTCAAAGGTATGAAATTGCTTCTTGAAGCAGCTTTCTAGTAAAAAAAATTTAATTTTTATACTAAAAAGCTGCTTCAAGAAGCAGGAAAAAAACTTGTCCCAAACGAAGACTAACGGCTTTTTTATTGCTTCTTAAAGCAGCTTTCGAGTACAAAAAATTTAATTTTTGTACTAAAAAATTGTTTTAAGAAGTAATAAGAAAGCTGCCCCAAATAAAACATGAGAAAATTTGAGAGCTCATTTCCTCAAGTAAAAAAATCGGTAAATGTTGGTTGTAGATATTTGATTTTTGCAGTATAAATTTGGCAGCCACTCTTTTATTGGCATAATATACAACTCTTATTCTCGTTGTAACAACCACATAATTTTACATAATAAAATAAAGAAATATCGAACAACTATTTTTTTGCTTGAACAACATTTTAAGCATCTGATCTTATTACCTGTCCAACAAGTTCTTCATGTATTGTAAGCCTGACTCTAATTCTCTGAATTAAAATCGAATTAATTTATCAAATATTTTATAACTTTATATATTAAAATACCATAAATTTTTATTAATATCATCCTATCATACTTCAAAATAATTTGTAAAAATTTTAGATTCTCTAATATTACTTTATATTAAAATATTTTCTTATAATAATAGAAATATGTTTTGGTTGATATTTTTTGAAAAATTATATCAACAAAATGCTTGAAGAGACAGTTTAGAGGCATCAAATTTTTTTCTTAAATTTGTACAACAGCTTAAGATTTTGTTTAGGACGACTTTCTTACTTCTTCTTAAAGCAGCTTTTTTCTAGCACAAAAATATTTTGTGCTAAAAAGCTGTAAGAAAATCATCTCAAACAAAATCTTATATTGATCCCATATATATATATATATATATTATATATATATATATATATATATATATTGATACCTTAAATTATAGATATTTTATTAAGCATTTGAGTGCCTTACCGTACTTAGATAAATGATATTGGTCTCATTGAATTTAGCTTGTCAATATGCTTGATTTCTATAGGCACACAAGATTTGGAGGACATTTAATCCATCAATTAATATAATAAAGTTTCCAAATATGTTTCAAGTGCTTGATTTTGATTCTTTCATATCCAAATCGGGTCAGTTGTGGCATCAATAATTTTGTCACATTAAGGCATTCAGTACGATTATAAGCCCATTGAAATTATAGTTCAAATAGCTTTGAATTTAATTCTTCGAGTTTCCTATTTAAATATTATATTGAGATTCACGATTATTAAGTGAATTTTTTGTCAACGTATGAAGTTGTATTTTATGTTCGGTTGAATTTCGAGTTAGAATAAGGTTTGAACTTCATAAATGATAGAGTATATATAATATAACATAATGTAATTACAATAGTTATAATATAAAAAATTATAATGTAGATGCAACACATGATAAAATTTTAATATGAAGCCTTATATTAAATTAAAGTTATTAAAATAATTTATACTAACATGTTAGGTATAATCACAATAACCATACTACATCAGATAAAAATTTTGATATAATTAAATATAATAACAATGAAAATGCAGTCATATCACTATAAAGTGTCAAAATCCGACAACATTTATATCATTATAAAACGTGTACTTGAAGATCAAAAGGATTGAAATCATTTTCAAAAGAGAAGATGCAAGTAAAATAATAAATTGAGACTTTGTTCTAACTTTCATTAAAAATATGATAAAGATTTCATAAATCTTATCAGAAGTTATTCGAACAATATTTCGACATTAATAAAAACTTTCATACTTTTATTGAATCATTTTCAAATCATGATTGAAGTTACTTCGAATATTGTTCAATCTTATTTCTGAAGTACGAACAAGCTTTTAAGAATGTTTGCTCATATGTTGTATCCATTTTGATCAAGGGCAGCGAAGGCGAAGCCGGGTGGTCATTCAGTGCGAAAGCTTGTTGGCGTCGCGTGAAGGGAGGAAGGTCTATGCGAGGGATCAGTTAACTGAGGAAATTAGCAAACAAATTAAAAACATTATTTTTAGTCCTATTTGATGAAGAGACTTAAATATCTATTTATAGAAGTTGTTTTAAAATCGCTATTATAAATAGCTATTAATTAATTATGGAATTGACAGATATTTATTAAAAAAATTAATTTTTTTATTTACTCATTCCTCAAACTACAACCATTCAAACGAAAGATTGCTTAATAATCGCATGAATTTTAAATTAAAAAAATTTAAAATTGGAACCTTTTACTAAATTTAACATTATCATTATTAAAAAAAACCACCTACAAATTATTAATATATTTCTTAAAAGGAATTTACATACACATATACAAAACAATTTTAAGTATTTACATATCTAAATTTGCAAGAAATTGATAGTTAGTTATTGCAAATTGATAGTTAGTTATTAAAGCTTTTCAATTTTCTTATTTATTCACTCTCAGCCACACAACATAAAGAATGCTTAGTCATCATATGTAGTTTTGATTAAATAAATAAATAAAATAGGCACCTTTTACTAAAATTGAAATTCCGCTCCATTTTCTGCGTCGATTGAATCTAGCGGAGGCAATTGAAGAAGAGACCTCTGAAAGCTATAAAAGGAGAGGTAGACAGAGAGAGAGATGAAGGCAAAGATGGCGAGGAGGAGCTTCTGTTAAATCCCAATGTCGACTTGCAGATCATAGAGGTATGAGAAGGGAGGATATTCCGTCGTGCTCCTATCCTACGGCGGACTTTGAATCGCACGGTGAGCTTTTCACCGCCGACCAATACGATCTCCTTGGGCTTTCATTACTTACTCGATTCGATCAGGATCTGACATTTATCAATTGATTTATGCTGATGCTTCCTCTTATTCACTTCTTTCCAAATCGTCTGAGACAATTTGGTTTGTTTCTTATTAGGTTTCTGTTATTTGTTGTGTATTGAGTGTTTGACTAGGAATTAACAAAATATATTAGGTATACAAAATAATAAATTTTGAATTGGATTTACTTTGTTGCGATTGTGATGGTGATTTGAAGAATAATTTATGTATTTCTGATTGTTTGATTGGAATATTTTGATTGGGATTGCAGGAGGAAGAATGGAATCGGATCTCGGGAAGGTTTTCATTGGAGGTATTTCGTGGGACACAAATGAGGATTGCCTTCGGGAATATTTCGAGAAATTCGGGGAGGTTGTAGAGGCGGTGATCATGAAGGATCGAAAAACTGGCCGTGCTAGGGGTTTTGGATTTGTGGCCTTTGCAGACCCTGCTGTTGCCGAGAGGGTTGTCATGATTAAACACCGAATTGATGGGAGGATGGTAACTACCATTGCTACCTATTTGAAAAGTACATGCTTAAAGAAATTGATAGAAAACAGAGCCCTGCATTGGATACCCATATTCACACCCACCCATATACCCACCCATACCCAATGGGTACCCACATCCAATGGATATGGGTCAATGGATATGGGTGAGTATGGATATGCATAAGACCTTGTGGGTGGGTATGGGTGGATACTCAACATCGAGAGATAAATCAATTTATATTGCTAATTACTGTATATCTAAACATGCAGTGCCACACCAATATTGGTGTCACACTGTTCTTCCGCCATATAAATTTTTTTATTTAAAAAACTTATGAGTAATTTTAAATATTTAAGTGTAAAGTTTTATTATAAATAATTAAGAAATAATAATTTAGAAACACATTATTTTTCAGGAATTAAAATATTTTTTATATAATTATTTTTTAAAGATAAACATTAACATAAAAATTACGATAAAACTCTCATACATATTTAAAAGATATCGAGCACTACAATACTAATTCTAATGTTCAATTCCCCTTGCATTTTTTTTGTTCATATTTATTTGTTCTAATATAATTTTCATTTTATTAAATATACATTTGCTTATTTAGGACATATTAATATCCCAAATTTTTTTATCAAAAAAAAAAAATAATAATAAATTATAATAGGTTTAAAATTGATAAATATAAATATATGATTAAAAAAAACATAAATTGTTTTACACGGGTTCATTATGATTCTGCTTGTAATAATGTATAACAGGTTGAAGCTAAGAAAGCTATTCCAAGGGACGATCAACGCATATTACTTAACAGAAACAACAATAGCCTCCTCCTCCATGGTTCACCTAGTCCAAGCCGCATAAAAAAAATATTTGTGGGAGGCCTTCCATCCAATATAACAGAAGCAGATTTCAAGAAATACTTCGAAAGGTTTGGTGCCATCACAGATGCTGTTGTAATGTATGATCACGACACTCAGAGGCCAAGAGGCTTTGGTTTTATAACTTTCACTTCAGAAGCTGTTGTTGACAGAGTTTTGCAGAATTCCTTTCATGAACTAAATGGAAAGATGGTGGAGGTCAAAAGAGCTATCCCAAAATACTTCTCCCAAGGACCTACTAACTATGGCTTGAATAGATTCAACAGTTCTTTTAATATATATGGTCAGGTGAACAATCGAAGCGCTCTCGGTAGCTTTGGGCCGGCGATCGGCGGTCGGAATGGGTCCCCTTTCACTCCTGGTTATGAAATTGGGTTGGGTTTTGAGCATGGAGTGAGACCAAGCTATGGAGAAAACTTAAATTTAAGTAGCAATATTGGTTATGGACAAGCCTTGAGCCCATATTATAGTGGGAATTTGACTAGATTTGGTGGCTCTATTGGTTACAGTGCAGGTTGTGGTAATCCTGGTTCATCTTTTGATTCAAGAGCTCTTAATTTATGGGACAATGGTGACTATAATATTATCCCTGCAAGTGCAAATTCCTTCGCAGCCTCTGGAATAGGGAGCATTAATGGTTTCGACAATAATATTATCAGAAATCTGGATGATACTTTTGGTTTTTCTAGTGATAATTATCCAAGGCGTTATGACATTGGCTCTCTTAGTGCTTCTTTCACAGCTAGAAGAAACTATATGGATTTATATGGAAGTGGTTCAATTTATGGAGATCTTTCTTGGCACTCAGGGTTGAATGAACTTGATGAATCTAGTTTATTTGGTTATGGGCTTGGCGCCACAGCTACAGATGTAATTTCCAGTGGTTCAATAGATTACATAAGTGATTATGATGTTACAAATAGGCGTATAAATAGAGGTCAGCAGTTCCTTCCTCTTTTACAACTTGTGTGTTTAATTTTTTTTTTTTTTTTGCATTTTCTTTTTTTTTTTTAGAATCTATTAAAAAATTTCTTCATTTCTTGACCATATTACATAATTACAACGGTATTTCTTGCAAATCCCATTAATATTTCATTTTGGATTTAAAAGATTGAAGTTTGCTTTGATCTATCATCCAATTTTATATTCACGCAGAATTAAATCATATTTGATGTCATTTCTTTAATCATTTTATTCACTTTGATGATGTATAGTGATACTGACATGACCATAATTCTAACTTAGATTTAGAATTCATTCATTTGATTTATATATATATATATATATAGTAATATATATATAGAAATATAAGTATATAATTCTTAATTTTGGTCTTACAGCTCCTCTTAGCTCTGATAATAAGACGTCAAACAGAACTATTTTAATGTATTTTAACATTTAAGATGACATGACAAACAAAACTATTTTAATTTAGCCCCGCCCCGAATAAAACTTTTGGCTCCGCCACTATGTGTACTGGCGATCAAATTAAACGTTTTTTTATTGAACTTTGTAATTGAAGTGTCTTAAGTTTACTTTTCTTCTTGATAATATTACTTATGTCAGCTGCTAGTAAATGCTTCCATGAAAATTTCTTGGAGATATAATAGTAGCCTTTTTGCATAATTCCTAATCCATGGAACTTTATGTTGACAGAGGGATGAGCATTCATTTTTTCACAATTAGATATTGATGGGGACATCAGATCATGGAGAGTCTATCAGAGACGTGACCGTAGATCTACGAAAACGATTGAGTCATTGTATTTCTGAGTTATTTTATGTAATTTTTTATTTATAATATCATATTGTATTTATTTTATTTGTTTGATTTATTATTTTTTCGTTGTACCCTTTTATTAAGGGAGGTCGTATGTAAGCCCTAGGGGCATTATCGTTCTTTTATTTTTGTGAGTCTTTGTACGAGGCTATTTATAGTCCTAGTGTTCTTCTTTTGAGGTTAATGAATGATTGATTAAAATAATTCTTCCCTTGCATGAGTTCTTGTGAGAACTTAAGAAATCGGAGAGAGATCCCTAAGAGATGGAGGATTGCGCATCACCCACCAACCTAGAAGAGTCGGGTTCGTGGTTCTATTTCTTCTCTTCTTTTCCCCCTCCCACCACCGGCCATCATCATACCCAAGACCTTTATTGATTCCGTATAGGTTGTTAAATCTAAGCTGTTATCCCAAGGCTAACCAAGAGGAGGGTGAATTGTTAATTTAAAAATTCTCTTAGATTTTTTAAATAGAAAATCATTTTAAATATTACAGCAATTTGATTTTAAACTAAAATTAGCTTTTCAACCATAGTAAACCAAATTGCATAAACTAAATGCCGAAATTTAAAAGGCATAAATATTTATAGTGGTTTGGTAAAACACGACCTACATTTACTCCCTGAAGACTCCCTCTTTAGGTATTATACTATTTACCAAAGTGACTCTCTTTTTGCACCCACAAGAAGGCAGAGAAGAGTTTAGAAAACCTCTCTTTCATCAATCCCCGATGCAGTAGAGAACTGTCGTCCTTTCACACTCTAAAAGTGTCGGCAGAGAATCGTCGTCTATTCATACCCTCCATGTGAGAGTACCCTCTTCTTACTTCAAAGATCTTCCCTCGAGCAACTGGAAAGAAGAAAAGAAGAGTTGCAACCAAAAACACAAAGAGATCATTACATTTGAGTAACCTTGTGAACCCTTCACATTTCTCCTACAAGAAATCTCTCTCAAACACTCTCCCAAATGCACTCTTTCACTTGCTCTTGAAAAATCACGAAGAATGACTCTTTTCATGTCAGTTTTAAAAGACCTTTTATATGTAAAACACGAAAAAACTGTCCAAAAAACTGAAATATTCAATTTTGAGCTGGTAGGATCATACAGTACAATCGTATGTTCGTACATACAAATAGTTTAAATACTATTGCGTACGAACCTGTTGTGAATCTGTAAAAAATGACTTTATACACGATGATCATCCAGTACGAACTGTTTAAAAAAAATTCATCTTCATCGGGACAAAGAAGGACCCCATATTTTCGTACTCTGGATGGCGTACGTACGATGACAACATCATACGGTATGATAAGTTCATAAAATTTTTAAATTCGTCGGGATAAAAAGGGACCCGTCCAACTCGTACATTAGACGACATACGTACGATGACAACATCGTTTGGTACGAACCGTTCGGAAAAACTTTGAATTCATCGAGATGAAAAAGGGACCCGTCCAACTCGTACACTGGATGGTGTACGTATGATGACGACATCGTACGGAACAAACCGTTCAAAAAAACTTTGAATTCATCAGAACGAAAAGGGACCCGTCCAATTCATACACTGAATGGCGTACGTACAAATGAGATATCATACAAAATGATTTATATTTAGAAAAAAAATTCTATTTTCTATTCGTTTGACTGCTCGTAGGAAAAAAATAACTGAACAAATCTTCCTGTATGAAATGACTTCGTATAATACAATTAGCTTAAAAAAATACAAATTTTAAACACTCCTCTGATGTGTGTATCTACAATTGCTCAATTACAATCACACTCACTCAAACTCAATAAAATAAAAAATACAAACTTCACTTACAATAAACTCTAAACTTATTTGATTTGAAGTCTGCAATAATTCGAAATATGATTTCTCTAAAATGTTATTACACACAAACAAAAAAATAATGCATCCAAAATATGTTAGGATAAATTATAATCAAAGTAATAATATTTAGAATCATAAAAAATATACATGTTGCAATAATATCAACAATAAAAAATTTAAGTTGCAACTATCTACACAATCTCCTCCTTTTTTATGATGAATATAGAGAAATTCTATGAAGAACACAAAAACTTCTCTTTTTTATTTTTAAAACATATAAAACACAAATAACAAAAAAATACAAACATAAACATAAACAACACAGGACAACACAAAAATAGAAACATAACAACACAAATAAAATATTAACTTCCCCTTTCGACAACAACAAAAAGGGAAAAAGAAAATTGAAATAAAAGAAGTAATACGAGAAACCTTAGGAATTAATCTTGAAAAATATTGAAATAGAATTGCAATAAAAAGTTAATTACCATTTGATGAAAATAAAGATTAAAAATAAATAAATTAAAACATAACTTAGATAAGAAAAATTGATCAAGCTCAAGAAGCATTCTAGACAATTTGATAAGGAGAATTATTACAAAAGTGATGAAATGAAGATTAGTTAATTTCAATTTTTAAAATAAAATATAATATAAAATTAGATTGATTTGAAATAAAGATTAAAAGATAGAGGAAATAACATATTTAATTGATAACATTGCGCATCTTTTCAAATATTTGTGACACGCTTTGTGCATTTTTTGTATTTGGACTAATTTTGTGTCTCTTTTTCATTTTGCGAATAATTGCGCATTCTTTTAATTTTTGTACACATTATACATTTCTTTTTTATATACCTTTTTTTAATTGATCTTTTCAAAATCAAAAATCAAATTCTTTAATTATAAAGATGATTATATTGAAAAGAGAAATAAAAAAAGTAAGATATCAAAATTGTAATAATAATTTTCAAATTATATTTGACTAAAAAGAACATGAGATTGATATCCTTAACCTGATTGAGTTATAAGTTAACTTAAATTTTTGAAAAATTAGATGTCATAATAAAATTAATTTTATAATATAAGTTAATTTATAATACTTTAAGATCAATTAAAACAGGATTATCATGTAGAAAAACTCACATTTCAAATAATGAAAAAAAATAACTAATCAAAATAAGACATTTTTTATTGATTTCAAATAAAGATCGGTTCCATTAAAGTTATATATATCAATCATCTTAACATCAAAACAACACAACATCAACACAAACTTAAACAAAAATAAGTACAACAAAAAAACATAAACACTGACATCATCATCATATAAAAAAAGGACTCGCAAAGGCAACTATAAAGAAGTGCATCTAAAACTTTAAAGGACCCTGGTCTGGAGGAGGTTGGTTGAAGACAGAGAAATAACTATTCATCATAACTACATTAGTATTCATCGAGTCAAATTAACCTCGGATCCAACCAATATCTTGGTGGTACTGTGCATCCTATTGGTTTAAGTGAGTATGAATTTGATCAAAATTACTCTCCAATTGATCAAATTGTTGGACCATCTCTTGAAAGTCAGGTCCTTGAGCAGGTGCAGGTGTTGACCTCTCTTTTACTCAAGCCCTAGTCAAAGGGGTTGACTTGGTCAAATTGACTAAGCCAGGCCCTGAAACCCTTCCCATTCATTTTCTTAGGTCAAATCAATTTTGCTGAGCCCAAATTCGGGCCCTAGGTCAACCTAGGTTGACTCATATTGACCCATTTGAGCCTAAATTAATTTCAAGCCTAGTCAAACCTATTCTTGGCTTAAACCCCTATCCCCTTTGACCTAATTGACTGGGTTAACCAGGTCAACCTTTGACTTGGTCAACCCAAATCTCTCTTGGTCAACTTTAGCCTTTTTAGGTCAAATTAATGGTATTTAATACCATAATTTGCTTCTTATTGATCTCTAGAGCCAAATCACGATTAATTCAAGTTTATTTCCCTCCTAATTAAGCCTTAATGCAATCTTGACTGTTCCCTTTGAGTCCAATGCTTTAAATAGGGTGTGGACCTCCGAAAGAGCACCACGCGAACGGGTCGATTGGAAGGGATAGATTGGATCGTCCATACGACTAACCATTGAGGATAGATGCTCTCGCCAACACACCCCGATGGGTAGCAATATACACGACCTAGTCACGGGTTTCCTCCACCCGATACGAGAGATCGAGTGGGGTAAAGTAGATGTGGGACCGAGTTTCCCACGGGCGCAAGCCCCCATGGTTAATTACATCCCGGGCCGAAGCTAGAGAAAACTCTCGATTAAGGATCCTATATTACCTTTTCTAAATTGGGATTGGCACGAGGGTGTAGACTAGGAAGTCCTATCCAAAAGGAAGAAAGGTCTCAAAGAGGCTCAATCAACATGCGTGGCTCATACCAGCATTCGGAGGCTCTAGGGTACTAGAGAGAAAATGAGAAAATAAAATCAAACATTCAACCACATACGTGAGAGGAGAGATGGAGGTGGCTTCATCCTGCGATGCAGATAAGTAAGATTTATGGTCCCCGAAAAGAAGGTACCTACCTACTATTTAAGGCATACTACGAGACTGAATGTAGTAGCCTCGAATCCTAAATCTAGGTGGGGCTTAGTGCTCTACAAAACACTAAGATCCGTGTCTGAGCTAATGTAGTGCAAAACCTGGACTTATCCCTGCCTGGATTGGGGGAGCCAGCTAACCACCTAATCGCTTTAAAACTATGATATCAAGTCATTTATGATAGATGAGTGGGTGGTACAGTTCTTTGGAAATATGACCAACATCTAGAGGATTTCCTAAGTGGTCCTGGACTTATGTGGGTCAGATGCTCCTATCTAATACAATTAAATTTTATTTAATTGGTTACTAATGCAATGCATGCTAGTTGAATTGTCAGCTCATGAATGCTATAGAAATTTAAAAACAGGCTTATAGAAAATAATTTTTTTGAAAAGACTGAGTCTCCCTAGGTCCGGCACTTCATCCTCATAGGCCAGATTATCCGGACTCTACCCGCAGGTAGGGAGAGGTCTTATAACAAGGAAAGAAGAATGCAGTAATATGCATGCGACCCCGGACGGTTCCAATAGTTCTCTAGATTCGTTAGGTTTCTATATTATTTAAACCTTAAAATTTTAGAAATTAGTTATGAGTAGAAAAATTTTTATAATCCTTAAAAGAGTCTAACGCAATCCAGGTTAAAATAAAATCGGTATGCAAGAAAGAAACTTAAAAAAAGCAGATATTTCTAAGCGCAATCAGATAAGCACATCAATATAAATCCACAAAAATAATCAACTAAATGTCCATAGGCAAACTGCTCTTATTACAATCCAGGGTATTCAGAAAATAAAGTGGCCAGGCACCACTGCCAACAACCCAGATTTCTAAGCCTATGACAGACGCCAACAACTTTGAGTGAGATATTGGATATTCAGATCTTTAGTCTCTTGGATGTCTTCTCCTTGGACTACTTGGAACTCTCCTCCTTGGACTCATTGGATCTCCTCCTTGGACTCTTTGGGAATCTCCTCCTTGGACTCCTTGGATCCGTCGTGGCTTGAATATCCAAACGAAGAGACAATTCTCCCTAGCAGGGGTGTATTGCCTTTTCTCTTTGGATATCTAAAGCCATCCAACTCAGTCTTCCAAATGGAAGAAGACTATCTCCTTTAGGGATGCCTTCTTCTTTTGGAATCCGAGTTGGATAAAAATATCTCGACTCATAGTTATTTTCACAACTCTTAACAATTATTACATACAAATTTACATTTATCGAAAAGCAGTAAATTCTAAAAGGACCTGCAAGGTTATCCTAATAAAAATCCCAAGCAGTTTATATGAAAATAAAAGTGCTAACACCATTGACCCTGTGCCAAGCCATGCTCTTAATTTTGAGGGATAAGAGCTCCACCTGTGCAGTTATAATTAATTTAGCCCTCATTTTATTTAGGGGGAGCTGAGCAAGCACCTCCATAAAACACATTATTAGAAATCATGACATTGCTCCCCCTTTTATCAGCATAAGCATGGCCACCTGCACGGAAAAATAATATATATATAGCGCTCCTAACCTATGGGTAAGTCTAACGCTCACATCCATAGTGTAGAAAAAGTAAGCAAACACAACAATTAATTTTCAAACAGCATGCAATGAAAACAATGGAAAGCTCCGGCACACAGCAGGAAAATAAAACCCAGCAGCCTAACCTAGGTCTAGAAGTAGTGCCATAACAAACAATTCTATGTGTGTGTAAGGCTAGTGTGGTTTGGATAAGTCCTAAGCAGGGTAATTAGTTAAAGTTATCTAGAATTCAGGTCTGTTGTAGGTCAGAAAAGAGAATTTTTGTTGAAATTTAAATATTAGTGAATTAGAGTGCATTTTAATTATTTCAGTTTGTTGATCAGTTTAAAGGGCTTAGGATACTGATATTTAAAGTTTAAGTGATATAAGCCAATTTTAGAAAGTTCCGGGTCCTCCTAGGAATTGGATTAAGGGTCCAAAAAGTCACTATGAGACAGAGGTTAGGTTTGTTTCTCCTACCATCTTAAAAAAATACTAGACCTCAAGAGGAGTAGTTAGCCAGGTAGTACAAAATATTAGTGAATTAGAGTGCATTTTAATTATTTCAGTTTGTTGATCAGTTTAAAGGGCTTAGGATACTGATATTTAAAGTTTAAGTGATATAAGCCAATTTTAGAAAGTTCCGGGTCCTCCTAGGAATTGGACTAAGGGTCCAAAAAGTCACTATGAGACAGAGGTTAGGTTTGTTTCTCCTACCATCTTAAAAAATACTAGACCTCAAGAGGAGTAGTTAGCCAGGTAGTACACTAAAATCGGAGTTTTCTAGGCAAAGTTATGAATTTTCTAAGTTTCGGGTCCTAAATGAACTACGGTTGACCAAAGAATTGACTTTCTAATCTAAGCGAGTTTCTGGAAATCTAAAATTTTTAATAAATACTAGGCCCTAATTGGAGTCTAATGCAAGTGGGTTTGCCTAATTTTGAATTTTCTACAATTAGTTATGGATTTCTAAAAGTCGGGGTATTTAAAGGAATTTTCTAACTTTCCTAATAAAGGACTTTTTTTATTCTTTTGTTCCAAATCAGATCCAAACTAATTGGAATCACTCCCAAAGGTCAGGAATAACCAAAAAAAGTGTTCCCAAGTGTTTGGAAAAGATTTGGGATTTTTAATAATTTTTAATGAATTATTAGGGGCAAAATGGTAAATTCCACCTATGATCAAATTATGGGTCAACCTGAAGTCAAACTAGGGAGCCTTATTTATCTAAAGTGAAGGGTCAAATTTTGGACAATTCAAGATATGATGGGTAATTTTCTGACCTAAAATAAATTTATTGTAATTTTTTAGAAGGTCTTCGGGCCTTATTTAGCAAGTCAATTATGGTTGGTTAATTAAGGGCTCTAAAAGCTCCTAAAAATTTCCATGAAATTATGAAAGGCTTATAATGTCACTAAGTTTAAGTGTTGAAGTTTTCATGTTAATCAATGATCTATTCTAGCTCCTATGAGACTTCTAAGTTTGTTAGACCTATCCTTAATTTTTGTCCTTAGGGTGTCACTACATTGTAGGAGTTTAATGTGAAGTTTACACTAACCCTCAGGATAATAAATACAGGAAAACATATATAAAAGCAGTAAACATACAATGTCCTTAGATCTAGGAGAGCCTAAACTAAGTGCTCGTGGTGCAACCTACACATGCAAACTACGAATAATAGGAAATAAAAGACACATAATGAAGGGATTAGTGAATGATCGTGATGCAATCACCCACTAATCTACTCCCCCATGATTTCTCTTCACACATAAAATCTATGCCTAAAATTTCATACAATGGTGGGTCTCCCAAAATTAAGGTTTAATTATAACTAATTAAAAAAAATAATTTCAAAATACTTATAAATATAAATATATTTTTAGAAAATAAAGTAATTCAAAATAATTCAGTTCATAATACATTAGTATAGGGAGAACCACCGACCACCCAATCGAGGTTTCAAAATAATTTGGAAATAGTTTTTAATTTCAAAATAATTATAATAATAATTAAATAAATAATATTAAAATATTCCAATAATCAAATCCAGACAGATAACTGTCAGGACAGCAGAAATTAGATTTTGAAAATAATTTTAAAATAAAATTTAAAACCGTCTAATAACAAGAAAAAATATATACATAAGCAAAAACTCGATGTGGCCAAGGCGGACTAATCGAACCCGATCGAGCCTAATTCGACTCAACTCGAGCTGATTTGTGCTCGAATTGAGCCTTATGGGCTTGATTAAATCAATCAAAGGCCCTCAATGACACTCAAACGAAAATCGAGGAAAACATAGGATATTTAGGGTTTCATAATGCATCTTTTGCTTTTTTTCTCTCTCTGCACTACAGGAAAACACTTCGTTACCGGCAGACAATATCCGCCGGTAACATGTGAAATTCAATGGAAATCCTCAGTTTCCGACGCATTTCCGTCGGATTGCCTCCGCTAGTTTGGCTCACGTCGCTAAATATTTACCGACGTTTATATGCCACCGTTAACAATTCTGGCGCACGTTCTGGCGCTTTACCGGTGCAATATATGACATGGAAGACGTCGATTTTCATTCCATAATTCCGGCGACTAATGCATCGGTAGTTTACGTCGTATGGATCCGACGGAAACCACCGGCGCATAAGTCGCCGGAATGTCGCCGTAAATAAGCTACGGCTTATTTCTGGCGTAAAAGTGGCGTCAGAATTTGTCGGCGGATAAAATGCCGGAATAGGCACCGGTAATTTCCGGCGCACCCAAAGCCGCCGGCATGCTCGATCCAGTTCATTGTATCGTCATTTCTGTCGACTTTCTGACGCATAATCCTCTAGAAACCTGTAGCATTGACAAAAAATTGCCTTCCCAGCCAATAATCAAATTTTCACACCTGCAAACCTATACGAAACAACTTCCAGATGACAGCTATACACATAACAGATATAAATAACTTCAATATATGCTCAAAAAACATAAATATCCATGTTCACAGAAATAAACAAGTTCGCAGAAATAACTAAAAACATCACATATTGTTTAATAACACATGTTCACAGAATTAAACAAGTTCATATAAACTAAACTAAACTACTCTGACTCCGTGGACTCCTCCTCAGCTGGAGCTGCCTCTTTTCCACTCATCTGCTCCCTTATTCTACGCATTTCATCCAATAACTGATTCTGTTGCTCCTGCATCTGCATTTGAACATGTGCTTGCAACTAAGCTTGCCAATCAGCTTGTGATTTTCTTACTTGTTCTAGCTCAGCTTGAAGGGCACTTATTTATTGAACTTGTAAGGAGTCATGAGAACTAGATGCGAAGCTGGATGCAGTAGAGGAGATAATCCCCTCGTATGTCTGAGCTTGTGCACATAAACCATAAACTCTACCATGCTGCATTCCTCCGACGGCCTGAGACCAGATGCGATACTCAGAAAACAACACAGAGCCGCCAGAAAAGCCCTCACCTGATGCGGCATGAGCCTCTCGAAGCCGTGTATATTCCTCCTGTGAAAGTAGAATATAAATATATATATAATTAAACTAAAAATAGGAAATATTAAGCACATATAAATATATACTTATATGGGCTTTTCTTGCTTTATCATCAATTCATTATTGATCCTCCTGTCACTTATGAGTGCGACTATACAATTCCACAGGAGTTGGTTCTCTATCAAGCATCTCTTTCTGTTAGAATTAAAAAAATTTTATTAATATTTGAATTAAAGAACAACTTTGAAAAAATTAAAATTCATTACCAAATGAAACCTGTGCTCAGTATGTGGAACCGAGCCGTCAGTATGAAGTGAACTACCCAATCCCCCAACATCAGAAGCTCTATTCTGTCAATTTTGATCCCTCCTCCTAGTATACTCTTGGCTGCCCCAAGCAGTGTTCAACTCAGCCCATATACCCTCTCCAATCCACAATGGTCGCTTCTCAGACTTTTTAATATTTGTGAATATTTGCGCATCCGAGTAGACCCACGCTTCTCAAAATTCTTTCTAATCCTGTCATTGTGTTGGGGCAACCAACAAAATTTTTTCTGCATTCAAATACATATGATATATAATATCTAAGATTTTTAGCTTAAGTAAAAAAAATTAATCATTTTATATAAAAGCTAAAACTCAAAAATACCTCAAACTCTCTAAACCATATCTCCCAGACTTCTTTCGGGACTTTCTTCCAAGAAACATAAGGAGCGTCAAACCAACTCCGTATGATGTCCCGTATTTTATGTGTCGGTTGTTTTGATGGGTAGAACCTACAAAAAAAATTTATGTGAAATAAATATATAATATAAATATTCATTAGCTTAAATAAAAGATGAAGTCCATACGTGTCACCCTCAGGTGCTATCAACATTTTATCATCTGTCGCATGCTCTGGTGCAGCTGGTGTCGAAGGTCCAGCTGGTGTCGAAGGTTCAACTGGTGTTGAAGGTCCAGTTGCTGTCGAAGGTCCAGCTGAAGAAGGTTGATGGGGTGGTGGGGGATAGTATGGTGGAGCATATGGTGGAAATGGATAAGTAGGAGGGGCACCAACATAAGATGGGGTACGTAGTATGGGTAGAAAGGAGTACTCTGCCCGGGATCTAGTGAAGAAAATCGGGGGTCTGCTGAGTAGAACTGCGGGCTACTGGCTCCAGAAGTGGGTAAAGACTGTGTAGCAGGCTGAGGCTGTGTAGCAGCTGAGGCTGTGTAGCAAGTTGATGCTGTATAGCATGCTGAGACTGTGTAACACCCTCAGTATGTATTATCCTAGTTGGTCCAGCTGTAGTGATCTTCTTGGTGCGTCTGTTAAAAATATTTTTTATCAATCCTCTACTAGGCTCTTCACCTGAAGCCATCTGCACAGAAATAAATAAGAAATATTAATAGCAGGGATGTAATAATAAAATAAATATAGTAAAGTAAAATGCAAGGATGTAAAAAAAATGCAGTGAGTAAAAAAAATTTCAATTTACCTTATATTAACTCATCATTTGTTTATTCACTTTCATAAGATGATACACTTCCAACCAAATCAGATTCATCATTACTTTCCTCTATGGTTAAATCTACCTCATCTAACTGCAACTCGCTCTCATTAATTCTGATTTGATCATCTACATTAATTGGGAGATTTTTTAAATTTGACATAAACTCTTTTTGATGTGCTGATGGTATTGAAGTTGTTTTATCAATTACTCCCCTTGGTTTTGTCTTCATAACTACCAGCCAATCATATTTTTCTTGTATTTTGCTTTGAAAGTTAGCATAATAGACTTGAGTTGCCTGACTAGCAATGATGAATGGATCAAACTTTGTATATCTTCTACCCCACTTTACTTCTATTATACCGTAAATTAGATATACTCTTGTGCCTCTATTTTGTATTGGATCAAACCATTTACAATTGAAGAGATACACAATATTCCTGTGACCGGGATATTCCACCTCTAATATTTCTTATAAAATCCCGTAGTATTCAGAATCATCCCCTGTATGGGTATTCCCTCTTACACATACGTCAGAATTTTCTGTCTTCCTACCTTCACACCAATTTTTTATTTGAAATTTATAACCATTGACCAGAAATATTTGATAACATTTGGCTAATCTATTTAGTCCCCAAGCTAACTCAAATATCCCTGAATTCTGCGAATCACTTTCTTCAAAGTGTACCTTTAAATGAACAAGATATTATTATTAATAATATTAAGTAATTGCATAAAAAACTAATTAAGACTAATTATTCAAAATATATCATATTTTTAAACCAAGCAGTGAATTCTTTCTCCACTATCTTCTGAACTTCTCCTTCTTATGATATACTTAAACCATCAATGAACCTCCTACAAATCATTTTGAGTTTAGAATAAAGTTTATAAGAATTATGAAAATATGAATAAATTAACTCATACTTACTCGAGATACGACTCAACTTCTTCACAGTTCAGCAAGATATACAATGTGATAACTATCATCTCCTTATCGGTGAAATAGAGCACGGTGCTAGCGCCTACAAGTTCACCACTTCCACAAAATACAGATATATTAGAGGATTTACCAACATTTTGAGATATTGTACTTTCACCTGATTGAGACATTGTTTCAAAATAATATGAGCAAAACTGAGTTGTCTCGTATGTTAAATATGCTTCACAGATAGAGCCTTCGGGTCGTTTTTTATTCTTAGCTGTCTTCTTAAGTTTATTTAAATATCTCTCAAAAGGATACATCCACCTATACTGAACAGATCCATCAACCATAGCCTCATATGGTAAATGAACTAGTAGATGCTCCATAGAGTCAAAGAAGTATTGAGGAAATATCTTCTCAAGTTGACACAGAATGAAAGAAATTTGCTGCTCTATAGAAATCAAGTTCTCCATATTTAATTTAGAAGAGCATAAATCTTTAAAGAATACACTTAGCTCGATCAGGGGCTTTAAAATTTGATCTGGTAGATAACTAAAAGTAGTTGGTAATAGACATTGCATGAAGATGTGACAATCATGACTTTTTAATTCAAATAATCTCCCTGATCTTATGTCAACACACCTGCTTAGATTGGAAGAATATCCATCAGGTACTCATAGGGTCTTCAACCATTCACAAATTGCACGTTTTTGCTCTAAAGTTAATGTGAATGGAACTTTTAGTTTGAGTAATTTTTCTCCTTCATTATCCTTCAATTCCAAAGCTTTCCTCCTACAAATCTCCTTTAAGTCCATCCATACTTTTATATTATCTTTGGATTTATCTTTGATGTTCATAACTTTATTGAAAATGTTATCAAAAATATTTTTTTCTATATGCATAACATCTAAATTATGTCTAATCAGATTTGTTTTCCAATATGACAATGACCAAAAAATACTTTTCTTAGTCCAATTATGGTTGACACCATATTCTGGCAATCTTAACTCAGCTAATGTTGGAGAATCCATTATAGTGGGATTGAACCTGACTCTTTCAAAATTTTCTTCACTACTTAATTTTGGAGGAGATTGAAACATCATCATTTTACTTTTAGTAAATGCTTATTTATTTCGCCTGAAAGGATGACTTGAGGTAAAAATATTCGATGACAATCAAACTAAGTGTTCTTCCTACCATACTTTAAAGTGAATGATTTTGTATATTCCATACAATATGGACAAGCTAACTTGCCTGAAGTGTTCCAACATGAGAGCATACCATATGCAGGAAAGTCCCCAATTATCCAAAGTAATGCTGCTCTTAGTGTAAAGTTCTATTTGGTGGAGATATCATATGTATTTACTCCATCTTCTCATAATGAATTTAAATTATCAATTAACGGTTATAAGAATACATTAATCTTCACTTTTAGATTATGTGGCCCTGGAATGATAAGTGACAGAAATATATATGGAGTAGTCATACACAACTCTGGAGGTAGATTGTAAGGAGTGAGTATCACGAGCCAACATGAGTATGATGTAGCAGA